GAGATGGAAACAAAGGAACTAGGAGCATTAATAGGCCATTCAGTCCTTTGAGCCTGCTGCCACATTCAGTATGATTACAGCTGATCCTCTATCTCAATGCCACATTCCTGCTTTCTCTCTATACCCCTGGATGCCTTTAATGTCTATAAATGTATCAGTCTCTTTCTTGAATATACTCGGTGAACCAGACTCCACAACTTTCAGTGGCTGTGAATTCCATAAGTTGACAACCCACTGAGTGATGAAATGTTTCCTCATCTCAGTCCTTAATGGCCTATCCAATATTGTGAGACAGTTACCCACAGTTCTAGACTCCCCACTGAGGGAAAACATTCTCCCTGCTTGTAGTCTGCCCAACCTTGTCGGAATTGTATATCTTTCAATCAGATCCCCTCTCATTCTTCTAAACTCTGGTGAACCAACCAGGTTCCTTTTTCTTAAATAACATTGACATAGAATCACAGAGTTGTACAGCATGGAAACAGAACCTTCGGTCCAAATCATCCATGCCAACCAGATATTCTAAATTAATCTAGTGCCACTTGCCAGCATTTGGCCCATATCCCTCTAAACTCTTTCTATTCATATATCCATCCAGATGCCTTTAAATGCTGTAATTATACCAACCTCCACCACTTCCTCTGGCAGGTCATTCCATACACATACCACCCTCTGCGTGAAAAAGTTTCCCCTTAGGTCCCTTTTAAAACTTTCCCCTCTCAGCTTAAACCTATGCCCCTTCTAGTTTTAGACTCCCACACCCTAATCATTTTCTGAGCTTTTCTCATCCTTTCTCTTTTCATGAGATCAGTAAGAATGAGGAAGGCCATTCAGCCTATCTTAACTGTGTTAGATGGTATTTACGACAGAGAAACATGATTTTTTAAAAAGTTCGTTCACAGGATGTGGGTGTCACTGACTTGGCTAGCATTTATTGTTCATCGCTTATTGCTGTGAGATCTGGAGTCACATGTAGGCCAGATCCAGGTAAGGATGACAGTTTCCTTCCCTAAAGTGAACCAAATGGGTTTTTCCACTGATAATCAGCAAAAGGTTCACGGTCATCATTTTGTTTTTGTTTTTGAATACAAGTTCCACCATCTACCATGAGGTTTTTCTGAAGAAGGGTCCAGACCCGAAACATCAGCTTTCCTGCTCCTCTGATGCTGCCTGCCCTGCTGTGTTCATCCAGCTCCACACCTTGATATCACCACCATCTACCATGGCAGGATTTGCACTTGGGTTGCCAGGCCATTACCTGGGTCTTAGGATTAATAGTCTAGCAATAATACCACCAGGCCATCACCTCTTTGATGGTAGTGGAGTCGGGCTGAAATTGTTGGATGGTGAGGATGCAGGGGAAGAAGTTTTCATTCTGTTAATGTGAGTGAGGAGGGTCACATCACTTTAACAACCACCTGTTAGGCAATGTGATCACCTGGCCTCCCCGATGAAGTGAAGGCCATACTTTAACTGGCTGCCTCAGAGACAACCATTCCTGCAGTGGGGTGCTGCTCAGCAAACATTAAGCTTCTTATTTACTAGGTGGGTTAGCCATGGGAAATGCAGGGATAGGATCGGGAAGGTGGATCTGTGTAGGATGCTCTTTGGAGGGTCGGTGTGGATGGGCCGAATGGCCTGCTTCCACCTGTAAGGGTTCTACTAACACATTCAAAGGGCAGAGTATTTGGTCTGGGAGCGGATGCCCCACACGTTTTATTTCTTTTACTATTTGGTACATGGTGCACTACTGGTTTGTTTTAGTGGTTGGAGAGGCTGCCAGGAAAATGAGCAGCAGACAGTTGAATTTCTGAGTCACTTCTGTTTCCTACTTTTAGTCAAGCTTGGAATGTGGGCTTCATTAAATCCAGCATTTAAGGCCTGTCTCTCGCTGGCCTTGAGAAGGTGCTGGTGAGATACTTTCTTGAATCGCTGCAGTCCATGTGCTGTAGGTGCAGCCAGATGTGCCATTAAGGAGGGTGTTCCAAAAGTAACACTGAAGGAACAACAAGAGAAAGTGATGGCTTCCACGAGCCTGGTGCATGTATCATATTTGGTGATTGTGGCCGCAGGTTTGGGAGACAATATTGAGAAAGTCTTAGCAAGTTGTTCTCTTTTTAATCCTTTCGTGGGATGTGACAAGGCCGTCATTTGTCACTCATCCCTCAATACTGTGAAGTCTGGAGTCACATGTAGGCCAGACCTGGTAACGATAGCAGATTTCCTTTCCTAAGAGATATAGGATGAAGTTTTCTTTTTCTCCTCAGAATCCCTATAGTGTGGAAAGAGGCCATTCAGCCCATTGAGTCTGCACCAACCCTCCAAAGACCATCCCACCCAATCCCCATAATCCCACTTTTTACCATGGTTAATCCACCTAGTCTATACATCCCTGGACACTACGGCTCAATTTAGCCTGGCCAATCCACCAATCCCACACATCTTTGGACTGTGGGAGGAAAATGGAGCACCCAGACCGAACCTACAAAGAGATTGGGAAAATGTACAAACTCCAAACAGACCGCTGCCCGAGGGTGGAATTGAGCCCAGGTCCCTGGTATTGTGAGGCAGCAGTGCTAACCACTGAGTCATGGTGAGGGTTTAGGCTGGCAGGTGGGTGAGTGAGGGGGTAGATTGGCAGGTGAGCGGGTCAGGTGTCGGGTGAGTGGGTGGTTAAGTGGGGGAGTAGACTGGTGAGACAGGGGGTCAGATGGGTGGTGAGGAGAGAGTGGGTCTGGATCAGGGTGGGGGAGAATTTGGCAGTGAAGTTGGATGCCAAGGAAGAAATGGGGAGTTGGTTGCCTGGGGGCACGGGGTATTGTAGGTTTGGGAACAGGGATGGTCAGGCGTAAGTGGGGTTGCCAGGGGCCCGGGGGGGGGGGATGTTGGAGGGAGGGGGGTGGTGCTGATCGGATGTCAGGCGGCAATGGGGTCGGTGGATCAGTGTGACTGACTGGGAGGTACGGTAACACAACCTCTGACTTAATTTCAGAATTGTAGACCTTTCAAGAGAGTTCCAAACCAGAAAATTATCGATCAATGATTTAAGTATTTGGAACAATTATCTTGTTGTCAGTGCATCAGGTCTTCTGATGGGTTCTTGAATGCATCTTTAAGGATACAATTGATCTTCAACTATCTGGAGACTGGAGGATCTGGGTGATAACTCCCTCCCCACAGATACTGTCTAACCTCCTGACTCAATGCAACTGTTTCTGTGTCAGATTTCCAGCATCCCTTGTATTTTGCTTTTCTTACAGAATAAGATAATCAAGGGCAATAGTCACTGACTGAAATTTTAGTTAGAATAGTTGAGAGTAGAAAGCTGAAACTGTGCCAACGACTATTGATCAAATGAATTCTTACTTGTCTACATAATCACTGGCCATTGTTTGTGCTGCAAACAAATGCGCAATCAATTTTCTCCTGGCTGAGGTTCCCGTCATATATTGCTGGATCATAAAGGCTTTACTCTGTAAATGTAGCACTCCCAGTCAGGTGAAAGCTAGGTACAAAGAAAGCTTGGGTCAAAGTCCTGACTCCAATCTGCATTCTTCTGCTGGTGAATTTGTCCATTCAACCTGTGCTTTATCTGATTTGGGAATGATAGTAATGAAGGCAGATGGCAACAGGATGAATTTGAAATAGCTTCCACTCTCCAGAGACTTATCAGCACTCAAACAGATGGCATCTTTCTGTGCTGTAACTTTTCTGTGATCCAATGAGCTTAGGATCACGGGGAAAATTCTAGGAATGCTCAGCGGGACAGGCAACATCTGTGGAGAGAGTTAACATTTTAGATTTTCTTTTAAATTATTCATGGGAGCTGAGTTTCACTGGCAGGTCCAGCATTCATTATGCGTCCCTAATTGCCCAGGGAAGGTGGATGACTGAATCAGTGTAGCCTGTATGAGGTAGGGATACCCATAGTGCTGTCAAGATTTTGGCCCTGTTACAGTGACGCAACAGTGATTATATTTCCAAGTCAGGATGGTGTGTGGCTTGGTGGGTGGTAGGGGGTTGGGGGGGTTGGAATTTGCAGGTAGCAATGCTGCCATGCATCTGCTGCCCTTGTCTTTCTGGGTGGTAGAAGTCATGAGTTTGAAAGACGCTGTCAAAGGAGTCTTGGTGAGTTGCTAAAGTGCATCTTGTAGACGGTACACACTGCTGCTACTGTATGGAGGTGGTGAACAGAACGAATGTTCAAAGCAGGTGCCAATCAAACAAGCTGCTTTGACCTCGATGGCATTGAGCTCTGTAAGGTTGGTGACCATTTGTCAAAGGAAGGGCGAGAAAAGATGGGAAAGGAGGGAAGAATGAGATGGAATAACGATTGCAGAGTATAGGTAAAAGGGGAGTAGAGAGCAAAGAGCAAAAGCGAAGTTTATGTTGGATTGGAAGGCAGGAGTGATTAAATGACAAAAAGGGATGAGTGTGGCTGGGGGCAAACATGGTTGGTCATGGGACAAATAAAGAAATGGGCCTAAAAATGTGTATATGGCAACAGCGGGATCAGTAATAGCCTGTGCTGCCTGAGATAAATGGGAGCAGTGACATTGTTGAGGCTACTTTTAGGACCAAGACTGTGTAACTGAGGGCCGGTTAGCTCAATTGAGTGAACAGCTGGTTTGTAGTATAGAGTGACATCGACAGCGTGGGCTCATTTCCCACAGCAGCTGAGGTTACTATGGAGGACTCTCCTTCTCAACCTTTCTCCTCACCGGAGGCATGGTGACCCTTGGGTTAGACCAACACCAGTTGTCTCTCTCTCTAATGGCCCATTAAAACTATTGTACCTTTGCCAGGAATGCATTTTTTGAGTCGTGTTAATTTGGTTATCAATGAACATAGCAGATCTTTTCTAGACAAAAGTCTTCTCGACTTGAAGCATCTGGAAATGAGGAAAGCACTGTGTTTGGCTTATTAATCAAAGTAGCCATAGTTTAATATATATTGAATGAGTAACCAGTTCATTTTGATTATTTTATTCCCCCCCACAGAGCCCATCGCAATGCCAGGGAGAACATCTTTCCTTTCCTGTTCCTCGGTGCTATCTACTCATTGATGGAACCCAACCTCTTCATCGCCCATGTCCATTTTCTGGTCTTCTTTGTGGCACGTGTAGTCCATAGCGTGGCTTATCTCTTCGCTTTTAGAGCACCAACACGCTCACTGGCGTACATCATTGCACAGGTTCCTTGTGTGTCCATCGCCGTACAGATTCTTTCTCACATTGCAATTGGTTGGTAAGGGCAATTGACACAACAAACCCAGTTAGAGACACTTTGGAAATATTGGCTGCCTTGATCAGTTCATCCCAGACGTGAAGAGTCTACTGTTAGTGTTGGAACTGTTATTGCATTGACTTGAAATCCATTAGACATTGCCAGCATGGTGTCTGCTTTATCGATTGACTCTTCTGAGATCAAAATTCTGCTCCTGTACTATTATTTCATGCAATCAAACACGCAAATGCTTCGATTTCAGCTCATCAATTTTAAAGAAATTAAATTAAACAATTTAAAGAAATTGCTGAAATGGTGAGTAGGAGCCAGATTTATTATCCCCTCCAACACCACCCCCACCCCTGCCCCCACCCACAACAACAAAACACCCCATTTAAAGTTTTGTTTTGATCCGAAACCTCAAGATGGATGTACCATTTGGAGGCCTGACTTCCAAAATGGCTGCCCCACAAATAATTTTAAATAAAAGGGTATCGTTAATAAAAAGCAGATTGTTCAGACAATGTTTAAAACATCCAATAACTGAAATTTTAGTGATTCGCTATTGTAGCACACAACCACTTCAAAAAAAATTATAAATTTTTTTCACCAAAGTCGGTGGAGTTGTGGATAGTGCGGAAGGATGTTGTAGGTTACAGAGGGACATAGATAAGCTGCAGAGCTGGGCTGAGAGGTGGCAAATGGAGTTTAATGCGGAAAAGTGTGAGTTGATTCACTTTGGAAGGAGTAACAGGAATACAGAGTAGTGGGCTAATGGTAAGATTCTTGGTAGTGTGAATGAGCAGAAAGATCTCGGTGTCCACGTGCATAGATCACTGAAAGTTGCCACCCAGGTTGATAGCGTTGTTAAGAAGGTGTACAGTATGTTAGGTTTTATTGGTAGAGGGATTGAGTTTCAGATCCATGAGGTCATGTTGCAGCTGTACAAAACTCTGGTGCGGCCGCACTTGGAGTATTGCGTACAGTTCTGGTCACCGCATTATAGGAAGGATGTGGAAGCATTGGAAAGGGTGCAGAGGAGATTTACCAGGATGTTGCCTGGTATGGAGGGAAGGTCTTATGAGGAAAGGCTGAGGGTCTTGAGGCTGTTTTCGTTAGAGAGAAGAAGGTTAAGAGGTGACTTGATAGAGACATACAAGATGATCAGAGGATTAGATAGGGTGGACAGTGGGAGCCTTTTTCCTCGGATGGTGATGGCTAGCACGAGGGGACATAGTTTTAAATTGAGGGGTGATAGATATAGGACAGATGTCAGAGGTAGGTTCTTTACTCAGAGAGTAGTAAGGGCGTGGAATGCCCTGCCTGCAAAAATAGTAGACTCGCCAACTTTAAGGGCGTTTAAATGGTCATTGGATAAACATATGGATGATAATGGAATAGTTTAGGTTAGATGGGCTTCAGATTGGTTTCACAGGTTGGCGCAACATCGAGGGCTGAAGGGCCTGTACTGCGCTGTAATGTTCTATGTTCTATGTTCTATGTTCTATAAATGGGGTTCCAAAGCCCATTGCAGAATGAACTGTCACCTTTGCTCATTTAAAATGCCAAGTAAATAATGTAGAGCCTTGTGCCATAAGTGACTACCCTTTATGGTCAGACAGGCTTTGCATAAGGTAGTGAAATCTATTAACAACCACTTTATATGATGTACAATGTAGTGAATCACTGAATATTTCGCTAGATAAACATGTTCCAAACCACATTCCCAACTCAAGTCCACCACACACACACATGCACGCATGCACACACTTAGTGATGCTACACCATCATAGAGGCTGACATCATCCATGCTGTATGCAGACCCTTGCTTCTCAACTCATCTGGATCCTTATTTGCCCATTCAGTATTGTTTAATAAAGGATTCTGCCATTGGACTTGCTGGAGATCACCTTATTGAGCTAACATGAGCAACAAACGTTGTTATCAATTAGAAGCTGCACATTAAAACTCAATGTTGTGACAACTTCAGAAGTCAAAATAAGGGCCCAATCTTACCAGTATATGAACCAGGAACAAGATTAGGCCACTCGGCCCTTTGAGCCTCCTCTGCCGTTCAATAAGATCATGGCTGATTTGGTATTAACCTGAACTGTACATTCCTACTTAGCTCTGATAATCTTTCCTCCTCTTGGTAATCAATGATCCATCTACCTCTGCCTTAAAAATATTGAACTATTCTGCATGCACTGCTTTTTGAGGAAGGGAATTCCAAAGACTCTCAACCCTCTGAGAGAAAACATCTTCCTCCAATGAATATCACCAGCAACATGACCTGCCCCCAAAGCTCTGTCTAACTGAAGTACTTTGCTGGTTTGATCTTGTAGTTTTATATAAGTTTTTTCACACGTATGAACTTCCCTGTGCTTTTTGTTCATTGCAGTATTATTCATTTGTACATCGATGTTTGAGTATTGTTGACATATTTTGATGAAGCTCTTTGTCTTGCATTAAGATAAGCTTTACCAATGTAAAGGGGAACAATATTTTATCATTATGACAAGAGGGCATTGATTGGCAAATTGAGAATACAAGATACATTCTCCATGGCAATGCCTCTAACAATCAAAAGTCCAGCCCACATCCCCCAGGATAAATCTTATAAACTAAACAACGGAGCATCCATATCGATGGTCTAGTGTGGTCTTAACACAAACCCAAATAATGTTCCGGAAGCCTAGGTTCAAATTGTGGCATGGCAGATGGTAGATTTTGAATTCAATAGCAAATCTGGAATTAAGAGAGTAATGACAACCATAAAAGTGGCTTACTTGTGACCCACAGCAATGCTGCTGACTCTTAACTGCCCTCTGGGCAATTAGGGATGGATAATTAGTGCTTGTCTAGCCAGTGATGCCCACATCCCCCGTGAAGGAATAAAAAAATTGAAGAAATTTTTCCTCATCTCAGCCTTCAATTGCCAACCTCTTATTCTGAGATTTGGTGACCCAATGATCTAGATCTTCCACTTGAGATGTTTTATCATTATTCGGCCCATTGAGGATCTTATGCGTTTCCATGAGGTCACATCTCATTCTGCTAACTGGGGTGGGGAATATAGTTTCAGTCTACTCAATCTTGCCTTAAATCCAGTCATCCTATCATTGTTTTTTTCAAAATGTCATCCCCTACCCAAAAGTCGTCAACAACAACAAAAACAAAGTTGCTGGAAAAGCTCAGCAGGTCTGGCAGCATCTGTGAAGGAGAAAACAGAGTTAACGTTTCAGGTCCAGTGATGCTTCCTCAGAACTGGGGAAAAGTCCTCAGTTCGAATCCTTCCCATGTTTGCTGCATCTGCGGTGATAGACATGTATTGCACACTTGAATACACATATGTGTATACTTACAGGCTCACACTCCTGTTATAGATGCATAGGACTCTTTAATACCCATTGGTCCAGTTGCTGCCTGAGTGATAGTCAGAAAGAAGATGAAGCCGATGTGGAAAACAAATGATGCAACGCCGTAAGGTGGGGAGTGACAACAGATAAAACTTCAGCCAAAATTTATCAGTGTAGGAATACTCTATTATTGAATGCTTAAGATGAGAGAATATTACTGTTCCAATGCTACATTAGATATAGCAATGAGAAGTGGATAAACATTTTGTTTAAATGTATATTGATACAGATTTGGTGGATGCAACTCCTAACACCACTTCTTACCAATTGTCATTGTCAATAAATTCTTATTAAAGCCTTATGTAAAGACGCAGATAGTGCATCATTAATCCTGGTGTGATGAGTGAAGTCAAATATCTCATTTTCACTGTGCTTTGAATTTTGAATACAGTTTACTTTTTTTAAATGGTCAATTTGTTTCTTATTTTTATTACTAAATCTATTCTTCCTAATCAACCTATTCAGAGATGTTATTACACATCTCAGGAGCAGGTGGGACTTGAACCTCAGCCTCCAAATCCAGGGGTAGGGACACTGCCACTGCATCACAAGAAGTCCCTTGGATATGGTTTAATTTTTTTAACCTATTTTTCCTAATCAACCTGCTCAGAGATGTTAATACACACCTCAGGAGCAAGTGGGACTTGAACCTGGCTCTCTCGGTCCAGGGGTAGGGACACTACCACTGTGTCACAAGAGGACCCTTGGATATGATTTAATAGCGACTGGTATGACCAAGATTCATCTGTTGCGATATTAGAAGCCCATGGCATGTCAACAATTGATCTGTTAGTTTCTTTTTGAGCAATGTTTCAGTTGGTTGTAATTTGGTAGTTCAAGACCCACTTCCACACCTGAGCACAAAAATCAAGACTGGCGCTCCTGTGCAGAACAGAGGAGCTGTTTTTTGGATGGGATGTTAAGCTGAAGCTCTCTCAGGTGGACATAGATGATCTTATGCCACTATATCAAAGGAGAGCTGGTGAGTTCTGCTTGGTGCCCTGGCCAATTCTGAACTAACATCACTAAAAGAAATCAATGATCCCCTCATTGTTCATTACACTGATGCTTTTGGGGTCTTACTATATATATGTCATCTGCTGCATTTCGTACGTTACTATGGTCACTGTACCTTAGGTCTACATCACTGATTGCAAAGTGCTTGGGGGCATGCAAGGGTCATGAAAGATACTGTGGAAATATAACTTTTACTTGTCCTTCCCAACGTTTTTTGTTACTTACTTGTTTATGAGATTTACATTATAAGATGAAGGAGCAGAAGAAGGCCATTTTGTCCATTAAGTCCACTTCAAGATTCAAGAAGGGGTTCAGAAAACATTTATAAGGATATTGCCAGGGTTGGAGGGTTTAAGCTATAAGGAGAGGCTGAATAGGCTGGGGCTATTTTCCCTGGATCAGAGGTTGAGGGATGACATTATAGAGGTTTATAAAATCATGATGGGCATGAATAGGGTAAATAGCCGAAGGTCTTTTCTCCAGGGCAGGGGAGTCCAAAACTAGAGGATATGTGGTTTAAGGTGAAAGGGGAAAGATTTAAAAGGGACTGAAGGGGCAACTTTTCAGGCAGAGAGTGGTGCGTGTATGGAATGAGCTGCCAGAGGAAGTGGTGGAGGCTGGTACAATTACAACATTTCAAAGGCATCTGGATGGGTACATGAATAGGAAGGGTTTAGAGGGATATGGGGCAAATGGAAATAGATTAATTTAGGATATCTGGTTGGCATAGACGAGTTAGACTGAAGGGCTTGTTTCCATGCTGTACATCTCTATAGCTGTGAGATCTTGGCTAATCTGATTGGGGCATCACTGTCTAGACCAGTAATTATTGTCCATCCCTAATTGGCCTTGAAAAGGTGATGGTGAACTGTGTACACCCATGATGTTAGGCAGAGAATACTGTAATGAAATATTGTTTTTACAGTCAATTACTGTCTACCTGTGATCCACTTTCAACAAAAGTGTGTACCTGAACCCCCTAGGTCTCTCTGTTCAATTTATGGCATAGACGGAGGCCATTTGGCCCATTGTGCCTGTACAGACATGTTAAATGTGTATCATTGTCTGATGCTGATCTCCTGCATTTTCCCCATGCCTTTGCACTTTTTCATTTCTGAATAACCATCCAATGCCCTCTTGAATGCCTCCATGACACCATCCTAGAAAAATCAGCCCGCTTGATTGGCACTACATCGACAAACATTCATCCCTCTACCACTGGCACCCAGTAGTAGCAGTGTGTACCAGCGACAAGATGTACTGCACAAATTCACTGAGTTCCATCAAACCACCCTTAGAGAGCAGGTTCATTGTTCCTTGAAAGTGGAGTCATAGGTAGGCAGGGTAGTGAAGAAGGCATTTGCTATGCTTGCCTTTAATGATAAGTACATTAAGTCTAGGAATTGGGAGGTCATGTTGCAGCTGTACAGAATGTTGACTAGGCCACTTTTGGAAAACTGCCTTCAATTCTGGTCTCCCTACTATATGAAGGATGTTGTGAAGGGTTCAGAAAAGACTTATAAGGATGTTGCCACAGTTGGAGGCTTTGTGCAATCGGGAGAAGCTGAATAGGCTGGGGCTATTTTTCCAGGAGAGTTGGAGGCTGAGGGGTGACTTTATAGAGGTTTATAAAATCATAAGGGGCAATGGATAGGGTGAATAGCCAAGGTCTTTTTCCCAGGGTAGGGGTGTCCAAAACTAGACAGCATAGGTTTAAAGGTGAGAGGGGAAAGATATATAAGGGACCTAAGGAACAACGTTTTCATGCAGAGGTTAGTGCATGTATGGAATGAACTGCCAGAGGAAGTGGTGGAGGCTGGTACAATTACAACATTTAAAAGGCATCTGGATGGCTTTATAAATAGGAAGGGTTTAGAGGGATATGGGCCAAATGTTGGCAAATGACACTAGATTAATTTGGGATATCTGGCCAGCATGGATGAGTTGGACCAAAGGATCTGTTTCCATGCTGGAGATCTCTGTGACTCTAAAACCAAAAAACACAAACATGGGCAGTGAGAGAAGAAAATGAGAAGAGGAAATCATATTAAAACATAAAGCAACGTTGGAGCAGATTTCTTAATATAATCCTCAAAGCCTTTGTCTTGATCACATTAACCTTTAAACTGTGAGGGCAGAATTTTGTATATTTTGGAACCCAACCCAATGATTCCACTGAATGAAAATGGGAACGCGCAGAATCTAAAGAGGCTGCAGGACTTTCTCCATTGAGTCATCACTCAGGTCTCAAAATTGATACTAAATGGGAGTTGGAACATCATGTTGCGGCTCTCCAGGCCATTGGTGAGGCCGCTTTTGGAGTACTGTGTACAATTCTGGTCGCCCTGCTATAGGAAGGATGTTATCGAATTGGAAAGAGTGCAGAAAATATTTACAAGAATGTTGCCGGAACTGGAGGGTTTGAGTTATAAGGAGAGCTTGGATAGGCTGGTCCTTTTTTCATTGGATCATAGGAGGTTGAGGGTTAACCTTATAGAGGTTTATAAAATCATGAGAGGAATAGATAAGGTAAGTAGCTAAGGTCTTTTCCCCAGGGTAGGGGAGTTCAAAACTAGAGAGCATAGGTTTAAGGTGTGAGGAGAAAGATTTAAAAGGGACCTGAGGGACAGCTTCTTCACACAGAGGGTGGTGTATATATGGAATGAACTTCCAGACGAAGTGGTACACGCGGGTACAATTACAACATTTAAGAGACATTTGGATAGGTACATGGATAGGAAAGGTTTAAAGGGACATGGGCCAAATGCAGGTAAATGTGATTCGATTTTTTTATTCATTCAGAGGATCAGGGCATCACTGGCCAGGCAGCATTTATTGCCCATCCCTAATTGCCCTGAGGCAATTAATTGAGTTTGGGAAACCTGTTTGGCATGGACAAGTTAGACTGAAGGGTCTATTTCCATGCTGTGTGACCTTAAGGCTGTATAACAGTTTGGTGATTCTATATCAAGCTTCTTGAGTGTTCTTGCAGCTGCACTTATCCAGGCATGTGACAAATATCCCATCACATTCCTAACCTGTTCCTTGTAGATAATGAGAGACAACAAGATGCAGGGCTGGATGAACACAGCAGGCCAAGCAGCATCATAGGAGCAGAGAGGCTGACGTTTCGGGCCTAGACCCTTCATCAGAAAAGGGGGAGGGGAAGGGGGTTCTGAAATAAATAGGGAGAGAGTGGGAGGCGGATAGAAGATGGATAGAGGAGAGGATAGGTGGAGAGGAAACAAACAGGTCAAAGAGGCGGGGATGGGGCCAGTAAAGGTGAGTGTAGGTGGGGAGTTAGGAAGGGGATAGATCAGTCCAGGATGGACAGGCTGTGGGGAATCAGGAGGTGAGAGTTACTCACTGCAGATTTCCTAACCATTGAGCTGCTGTTGTTGCTACAGTATTTATATGATTAAACCAATTCGATGTTTGGTCAATGTTAACCCCAGGACGTGGACAGTGGGGGATTGTGAAGGTAATGCTATCGAATGTCCAAGGACAATGGTTAAAATTCAGTCTTATTGAAGAATACCATCAAGAAGCATTGCAGAAATTTACCAAGGTAGCACCTTCTAAACTACAATCACTCTCTAGAGAGACAAGGACAGCAGACCCATGGGAATGTCACCATCTAAAAGCTCTCTTTTAAGTCACACACCATCCTGACCTGAGACTACATTGCTGCTCTTTCAGTGTCTCTGGGTAAAAATCCTGGAAGTCTCTTCCTAAGAGCGCTGTGGGTGGCTCTACAGCACATGGATTGTAGTGGTTCGAGAAGACAGCCCACCAAGGGTAATTGGGATGGATTATAAATGCTGGCCCAGTCAATAATGGCCAAATCTTCTGAATCATTTAGTTTAAAAGTTCTGGATGGTCTGCAGTTGTTATTGATGAGGGAACCTCACATCATGTCAAACGTGGCCAGGATTCGTGTGCTGCTCTAGGCAGTGAAAAAAAAGTATGTACGGAACTAATGAGTCTCAGAAGATTCAGAGCATGATGGTGAAAGACGTCATCTTCAAGGAAGGTCACCAAGGATACACAGGAGGTGGACAGGTGAAGTGATCTATCTAATATTCTTGGTTTCATTGTGCTACTGAAGAACATTCAGAGTCTACAGAGGTAAGGAAAATGTTAATGTTTATTTAAGAAACATCCTATTGTGACTTCTGTTTGCCATGAGTCACAGAGTCATCGAGATATGTAGCACCGAAACAGACCCTTCGGTCCAACTTGTCCATGCCGACCAGATGTCCTATCTAAATCTAGTGCCATTTGCCAGCATTTGGCCCATATCCCTCTAAACCCTTCCTATTCATATACTTATCCAGATGCCTTTTAAATGTTGTAATTGTACCAGCCTCCACCACTTCCTCTGGCAGCTCATTCCATATACACACCACCCTCTTTGTGAAAAAATTGCCCCTCTCATTTTGAATCTAAGCCCTCCAGTTTTGGACTCCCCAGTCCCAGGGAAAAAACCTTGTCTACTTCCCCTATCCATGCCCCTCATGATTTTAATCAAAAAGAACCCACTTTACTCACGGCTGTAGATTTACAAAACATATACTAGCCACTTAGCTGCTACCCTGCTGCGATTTCCCCACACAGGTTTCTCCAAAGTCAGCTGTGTGTTTCGCTGTTTGTTTATTTTTCTTAGATGAACTTGGATGTCCAGAGATACTTGAAATCAAACAGCAGAGGCAGTAGCTATGAAGGCTCACTGCTGGGTCAGTCAGCAATGTAGTTTTCTTTCTCTATTGATTCACTTCCCACCATGTGGTCATTGCCTTTGTCTTCCTTCCTCCTTTTTCAAAGTGCCGTTGTTTTGATTTTCTTTTCCACCAAAGTTCCAAAACAATGCTTATAAAACAGTAATTACTGCTCCTAGAATTTGAGGAAATCAGCTCCAACACTGAAAATACCTCAAAAAAGGAGCAGCTCTCAAAGCCACAATTTTTTTCCCCTTCCTCCATCTTGGATTATCCGTTTGTAAGAGAGGGGAAAATCATGTGATATTGCAATACTTCCTGTGACGATGTAAATATTTCCAATTTTTTCACCGGTCCCAAACTGGAAAGATTTGATTCTGATTGAACGTGTTCTGTCATATTACAAAAAATTTAAGCCTGCAGCATAACCCAAACACCAAATCTCACCAGTAACTTGCCTGAACCAGTAAGGCACAATGTCACTGACATAATCCTTCAGAAAGATGCAAGAGCAATGTTAAAAGGACCAACAAAGTTGTGCATAATTCTATAAAATAAAATTTATTTCTAAAGATAATTAGAGATGTTTTACAAGAGAATAAAACTAATTTGTGATCAGCCCAGTTGTTCATTGATGAATATGAAGAACCATACAGACTTGGAAAAGAGAGATTTGATCTGTAGTCTCGGCTGTTCCTGACTTGTCCTGTGATATGGATTTTGCAATTGTTCCTTTCTTCCTGGACCAGAGGTGGGAAAATAGGTATAAGATTCTCCAATGGTTCGTGTGTGTGTGTGTGTGTGTGTGTGTGTGTGTGTGTGTGTGAGAG